GAGGTTCCTTCCAACCCCTACCATTCTGTGAACATTGCAGAGCTGCTTCTGTTGCTATCTGTCTTGCTGATTGGGGTATCTTCTTGTAGGTGTATGTGTGTGTGGGTAATACAACACAAACTGCAGTTATTCTGCCAGTTTCTGTGTTTATTGTCCCTGACACTGGTGAAGAAAGAGCAGGAATTTCTGTCTCCCTGATCCGTTATACACAGCGCAATTTTCCTGCGGGGGATCAAATGAAAAATCATTGTGCTTGCAGAGTCGATTAATTCCTGCAGTTATTGTTACTGGACAAAAAAAGAGGCCAAGAAATTTGCATGGGTCAGAAAGAAGACCAGACATTCATGGGCTTACTAAGTACAGCCTGTGTTACACTGTCACTGAAAGAAAAGAGATACTAATACTAATGCTTCAGCCCATCAGTTAATTTCTGATTTTAATTGTGAGTCCTCATGCAGGAGAATGAATGACCCCACCTGTACTACAGCAGGATTCCCATAAACACTTCCGAAGCTGGAACTGAAACTGGCCCAGCATCAGGGATGGGCAACTGGACTGGGTGTGTCCTGTGCCTGACCCAGGAGTCCTGCACAGGTTGGTTAGTGCTGGTAGCTCACTGAGGACACAGAATTGCATTTCAATTGCACTCAATAGTCACATCTTTCAAGCCTTTCTTTTTCTTTTTTTTTTTTTTGAGTTTAATTAATTTCCTTTGCTTTTAAAAAAATCCTGACGCAACCTGTGGTTGCATTTTCCTAAAGCATTGTGGTTTCTGTGGCTATGCAAACAGCTCTATAGTGGAGATTCAGTATTAGTCAGGGAAAGGTTTGGGGTTTGCTGCCACACTATAAAGGCTTCCACAAATGGAAAACTAAGTTGACAACAAAAAATAACCCAAACATTCAAGAACCTCTCTTCTCTTAGGATAAGAAAAAGTCTGCAGAAAGCTTTGGTGACACTGATAAGTAGATGACTTGCAAATACAGGTTTTACTTTTTTAGTGTGCCAACAAAATGCCATTTGGCAGTAATGCCTGAAGCAGAGAAGAGTTGCAATGAAAAGCTGCATTTGCTGAACAGGTCATGATCCTCAGATGCTCATACCACTGTCTTTGTGCCAGCAGCTACTAAGCACAAAAATTTGCCACCTGGTCTGCTTGTGTTACACTGCAGTAAAAATAAGAAGGGCTTGTACCAACAACATGATCTGGTTAATTTGGAGTCAAATGACCCTACTGGATAGGAGGGGCAGCCGTAAGCTCTGTGTGGACAAGACACTACACGGCAGTATCACCCACCACAACAGCTACACCACAGGAGCCTTCAGATTCATAGCAGACAGCTTATCACTGCGCGCCAGCACAGCTATTTTTGAAGGCTGTAAACTCAAGTATAATGACAGGTGAACTCAGATACCAGCAATGTCCCCCACGCAGCTGCCAGGCACTGCATGATTGGAGGCTGGGAAGACTCATTTTATAAAAACCTGCACCACTGCTTCATGACATCTGTGAAAGGAAGGGTAAGAAACCTCCTGAAGGTGCAAGGCAGACACTTAAACCAACATAGGACAATTTGTTTTCCTCAAGGTTTGCTCCATCTTCCAGATTTAGGCAATGTGACTGCAATGCCTGGACATTTATTCTCTTCCTTTTATTACAGAGCTTATAGAAATGCCAGTGACATGGCAAAATCCTGCTGAGGTCAGTAAAGCAAGTGCTAATTTCTACTCCTATAAGATAAAGAACAGGCTGTTCCACTGAAATACTAATTATCCAGTAATTCTGCTAAGAGTTATGAAAGAATACTTCTAAGGTTAGGTGCCAAATCCCTCTTTTGACTCCACAAGATCTGAGTTCAATACCAGTATCTGACCCTTTTGTTGTGTGGAATACATCAAGAGATCACAGGTTCTTGCTTAGTAGACAAATCACCAAATAACTGTTAGACTCAAAACTCTGTAAAATGTGTTGCTCTAGCAGGGGAGATGGACTAGATGATCTGGTAAAATGTGGTCAAATAATAATTAAAATTTCATATTAAGTCTAACATGCATTTTATGTATTTTATTGCATTTTATGTATTTTCTTCCATTTTACTTGGAGATGAGTCTAAGCTGAAACTGTTTAGTGCCTGAACTTTGCAACTGCAGTCTCCTAATACGAGAGCTATGTGTGGTTATTAAACTATCTTTTAGTCTTAGTTTTGGTACAGAGGACCCAAGTGTGCTTCTACTTTAATTCTGGTAGTCTGGAACTCTTTGCTTCCTGAGAAACCCTTTAAATCTCTCTACCCAAGGAGCTACCATAGAACAGTCTTTATCTCTCTATCCTCCTTTATTTTTCTGCCCCAAACTCTCAAGCATATTTATAGGGAGAGGGAAGACAATGGTGGAATTATTCTCTGCTGCCAAGGTTGTTAATGTTTGCAGGTAGCGCAGCTGCAGACCCGCCGGAGACTCAGCCAGTACCATGGAAGCCTCTTTGAGGGCTTTAGAAGCATTCATTTCTCCCTCTGCTGCCACAACCTGCAAAATAAGAGAGATGGAAATGGCACTGTGACACTGCCCATGGTGGGGAAAATCCGTCTTTACAATGAGCAGTAAACAAACAGGCACCTGGATGCCTGGGACCATGATACGAGAGCTTCTGGGTAGACATGGCTGTGGGTCTCACCTTAGCTCTTGCCTCTCGAGCAGCCTCTGCTTCAGCTGCCATTGCCCTCTGCATGGCCACAGGAATCCTGACATCTTTGATCTCCACACGGGCCACTTTGATTCCCCACTGCTCTGTGGCACTGTCGAGGATAGCCTTAGGGACAAAGACACAACCCAACACAAAGAGCTGGCAGAGAGAAAACTGCATCATGTACCCTGCTGCTTGGCCAGAAGGAGAGGCAGCGTGCAAACCTGCACAACAAAAAGACGGAGCCCTCCTGGGGCACTGACATCCCACATGGTGTGTGTATGGTGGGTACCACAACCTTTTGGAACTCCTGCTGATCAAGACTGGTATCCTGTGTGGCTCCTCTACTGCTGCCTCAGTTATGATCAGACCTTACTTTAGGTGGGCACTTCCCAAACTTCTCTCTTTTACAAGGTAATACTAGAGCAACTGCCTAAAGCAGTACAACACTCTAAAAGCACACTAAGGCTGAAAGACACAGAACAGCCCGGCGGCTCTGGTATGCGCTTCTGTGCTCAGGTTCCTGGGCACTGCTGCAACCCAAGCCACCACCGAGACCCTGGCTCTGCCCATGGCCGCTCTCCTGACTGGAGAGGGGTACAATCTCTCTTTGATTTGACTGTGCATCATCTTTGATTCAAAACAGTAAGTCAGGTGTGGGATTTCTTCTCTGCTCCCTCCTTGGCTGCCAAATAAAATACCAAACCAGATGGCATTTTAAAGCTTAAAACAACTGGCTTCTGTACTCTTAGTTGTTATTACAGGAGAGACAAGCCTTGCCTTGATTAAACCTCAATCAAGGGTCTACTCAAGACAGAGCTTCCCACGAGCAGCAGACTTCTTTCTTACCGCTTGCAGCAGCCTCTGTGCAAGGCTAAACTGATTTATTCAAGTCACTGGATAATTTCAGAATCTTCATTGCTTTTTGATCAGAAATAACTCTTCTACAAGGACCTAGGGAAATACCCTTAGAATAACTCTTTCTGACTCTAAGCAATGAGATGTATAATTGAAAAAAAACCAACAAGCCAAAACCAAAAAACAAAACATAAAGGAAAATTCTTATCATTGTTGAAGAAAGAGAGATTAATTTGCTACTCCCCAGAGTACATCTCCATGCTTGTCAACAAATTTTCAGAGCAAGGCTTACCTGGATACTGTGAGCAATTTCCTCACGACCTGCCAGGATCTGAGCCAAGCTCTGTGTACCCAGAACATTTCTCAGGGTTGTCTGTGCCAAGAGGAAGGTAGCTGAGTGGACATCAGTGACGTTGGCAACGGCACTGACAGCACTGTGGATCCTGTAGTACACCACTCCATCGACTTGGGTAGTAACAGCATCTTTTGTGAGAATCTGCATTCGAGAAATGTACAGAATTAGAGAAGGATGCAACAACACTTCCTTTGCCAAGGAAGGGGAATATTTTTTTCACCCTTAGTGAGGAAAAGGCCCTGGTAGTTCAAGGAAACTAAGAATTTCTTTTGGTTTCTTTGTCATTCCCCTGAGGAATGACTTCACAGAAGCTATTCAGCATCACCAAAGTTTAAAAAGTTGTACATGGCCTTTAAACAACTGTTTCAATAGGAAATGAATCTCATAACTTCAATTAATTTATTCTGCCATAATAAATGATGGTTATCCTCTTCCTTTCTTGTAGAAAGGGCCATTAATGATTTTATACATTGCATGCAGTTTGGAAGATCTGTGTTACTGCCTCTAAATAACATATTTGTAAGAAACACCAGCAAACTAAAACAAAAGTGAAAAGCAAAGTGCGAGGAATTGTGAGAAAAAACTGTGAAAGAGTTACCTCTTGTGGAGGAATGTTACAGGTAACCATTCTAAGATCAACTTTGATAAATGTATCTGTACACGGAAGTATGAGGATCAAACCTGAAAAATAAAAATAATTAGATTAAATACTTCTGAAAGCTAAACCTAGAACCGGGTATCCTGTACAAAGCAAACAGATGGAAATATCCACAAGATGGGGAATGGGCCCATCTTATTACTACAGCTGTCCTTTCTGCTACAGGAGGTTACAACAGTGAGGTTTTGCATTTTCAAGTAACAGAGGGAAATGCAGATATCTGTAAATACTGTGAATTTATTAAAGCATAACGACCTAGGGCTCTGGACTGGGAATGGGCAGATTGCAGTTCTGGTCTCAAATCTGCCATGAGGTTTTTGGCAAAAGTTCCTTCAATGCATTTGTTTAGTTTACACTTTTAAAATCATAAGCTGTTTAGGGTACAATATGTGCGTCCCCAGGAAAGACATCCCCCAGCTCCAGAATCCTGCACCACCCATAGGCTCCCACATGAGGAATGTTGTCCCAAGATCTGACACATCCTGTGAAGGAGTCCCCACTCTCCCTTCACTGGAGAGGGAGACTCGACATAACCAATCTTCTAATCTCAGCACCCCGCTTAGCTGCTGAGAACCATGCCAAAGAGCTCAGCACCTGCCCTAGCTGTTCTTTGGACCACATGGTTATTATTCAAGAGGAAGGACAGACAGTACTTGAAAATGAATTTTTCCTTTTCTTTCAACTTCCACTTTGCTCAGTTTCATTGCACAGAGGTGGCAACTGCACCGATGCAAATGCCTCATGTTATTTGGTTTGGTTTGCATTTGTGATTTGTAACCTGATCCTAGGTGACTGTAACAAACTCTGTATAGATGTAGAATGTCCCTGCCCTGACACATTTACCTTTTTTCAGAGCAGAAGACAGTTAAAGAGCTATCAGCAACAAGCAGTGTTGGAAGTGAGGTATGGGGAGAGTTGCCACAGTCACTCAAAAAAGTCTGTGGCAGGTTTTAAACCTCCCTGGTCCTCTGCCAGTGTGTGCAGCATGAGCTCAACCTTCTGTTGTCCAACCTACTCAACAGCAAAGCCATACCTGCTATCAAGGTCCTCAGCCTTCTGTGTTGTGCTGTGACAGAGGGGTGGTTTTATCTTCTCTTCAGAAAAACAAACAGCCCTCAGGTAAAGGAACTGCAGCATAGAGGACCATCTCCTCCACCCCATGCTACGAAGAAGGATTTCATGGACCTCTGCAGTTCTCGATGTGGTTAGAGTGCATCATAATGAAATAAAAACAGTGCATTTTAACAGAATAAACCTGCGTGCATTCACCTGGTCCCTTTGCTTTCTTAGACAGTATACGTCCCAGCCGAAATACAACAGCACGTTCATATTCCCTGGTAACCTAGGAAAATATTTTAAATTTAGAATTTTATAACTAATTCTATTTCTGCTCTCTCATCAGATTTTTTAAATCTTTATCATGCATATTACACACAAAAAAAGTACAAATAATACAGGAAGCAACAAAGCTGCAAATCATTAGGCATTTTACATCTCCTCATCTCTTGCTTTGCTGGAAAAACTCAGACTCTGGCCCTGCAAACAGGTTACAAAACAAATCAAATATGGAAGAATTGCCACTGATCTAATGAGGCCACTGACAACTCTCTCAACATCAGTACTACACTCAGAGGAGCTGTAGGCAAAGTATGTCTCACCTCAGATAACCTAGCTAACTACCTTGGTTAGTGTATCAGGACTACTCAAGGCCTGGTGCTCAGGACAATCAACCTGGTAACTCACCCCTAAAAATTGCTTTGAATTAATCTTATTATGCCCATGTCTTGAAGGGGTATTTTGTGGGTTAGGTTATATAGTTGCCCAATGCAGGGACCCACATTCCCATGTACTCATGTTAGTCACTATTGCTGGCAGCATCAAATATGAGTTCTTCAGAAAAGTTTGTAGATTTATTCTCCCAGTGTTGTAAGGCAGGAAAGTTTAACTAATAATGGAAGTTGAGATTGGAAGAAATTAAATGAGTAAGTTGTGATACAGAATGTCAGTGGAAGAACATGGATCTTGGTCCCAGACCACATGTGTGCTACAAGCCTTTGATTTCCAAAAAGTGAGTGTGAATTGCCTTAACAGAATCAATAAATCAATAAATGTAAGTAACAGTGATGAAGCGATGAATAGAGTGTCCCTTATGTGCCTCATATCCCTCTAGCTTACCTTGATACATGCCCAGATGGAAACAGGAAAGGTAATAAACACCAGAAGGAATGAAACAGAAACCAGGATCCAGCCACAGACACCAATTCCTTCCCTCCTGTCAGCTATTAAAAAAATAAGGAAGAGTAATGAATGCAAATTTGGAAAAAAGTTACCCAAGGGATGTAGATCCATCCCAGTGCAATCATGAGGGACTGCAAAGTCCACAGAGACTCACTCCCTCTTCCTTCCTCCTACCACTCACAGAAAGCCACAGAAGTCCTAACTAAACATCCAACCTTATGGCCCTTCTGTCCAAAAGGTTAAAAGGTTCAGAAAGTACATTTTGCCACAGGAAAGAAAGAGGAAAAATGAAAGGCGTTGCCAAAGCTGGGGGCTGTGAAGTGGAAACAAATCACTGGGTGGAGTATCCATGGATATGAATCTCTGTCAGTGCACCATTGTTGGGGCAAAAGATTTAATTTGTATGAAACAGGTAATAAGGAAAATGAAGGGATCTCCTGCTGTCTTTAGGTGAACATTTTGAGGAATACTGATGGATCAGCTTATCCACTGGGCCATAAGCTTCAAAATCAATGCTTGTCAAAATCCATGCCCATGCATTTTGAGCAGTTTTCTCACTGCGTTCAATTGCCTCGTCCCACCATTTCGTCATAATGAGATGTCATTATTTCATCATAACCAAATCAAAATATATCAAAATAACGTCATTATTTTAGTGCCTAAAGGGAAAGTAGTGGTGAGTTGTTGTTCAAGTACTAAAAGTTTGTGAGGGTCTTTGTAATGAAAAAGTGATCAAGGAGCAGCTGCTCTTTGAAGAGAAGAGCAGCTGGAGCTGCAGAGGTCCTCAAAGAAGAGACAGAAGAGGGTGAGGAGTGAAACAGGACAGTCCTGCCACCAGCGCAGGGTGCTGTAAGGTCAACTGAATTTTGCCAAATGCAGAAATGCCTTGGATCAGGAGAATGACAAGAAAAGCAGAAGCAGCAGGGATGACAGCTAGGCTAGCCCCTAGGGCTGCCTGCCTGCCAGTCTTGGGCGAGAAGAGGATTTTTGCAGGCATGAGCATCAGCAGATGGGAAGCTGAATGCCACAGCCTATGATTCCCAATGCAAGAGGAAGAGGCAGGAGAGAGGGATGAAGGCTCAGAGGTCTCTCTCTCCAAGATGGAGAATGTTTTGAATATATTACTTCAAAGGTATAGGATAGCACTGGGAATTTCTGACATCAAATACAATTATTATGCAGATAGAAACTGACAAATAGAAAACAATTAATTTTATACTTTGTGAGAAAAATCTTGTCACCACAGTGAAACAGTGTGAGGCTACCTGATCTGTAAGGCACAAGCTAACAGATCAGTGGAGCAGGGCTGACAGATTTGTCAGGAAACCCCCAGCAACCCTGTAAGAAGCTGCCCCCTGCAGCTCCTTCCACTCTCTCTTGGACACATCTGTGCACAGCTGGGCTGTGCCTGTTGGCAATGTTAACTGCAAACAGAATCACAGAATGGTAGCAGTTGGAAGGGACCTCAGATCATCTAGTCCAACTCCCCTGCTAAAGTGGGTTCCCTACCCCAGGAAAGCGTCCAGGCGGGTTTTGAACATCTCCAGAGATGGAGACTCCACAACCTCTCCGGGCAGCTTATTCCAGTGCTCTGTCACCCTCACTGTAAAGAAGTTTTTCCATAAGTTTGTCTGGAACTGCTGATGTTCCAGTTTTTGCCCATTGCCCCTTGTCCTGTCACCAGCCAGAACCGAAAAGAGCCTGGTCCCATCCATTTGGC